TGTAGTGATGCCACAATTCTGAAACTTTGTACCAAAAGAGTTTAAAACCTGTTGAATCCGAAAAATATAGTTTTTTATATGTCAAAACAAGGGAATGTAGCTATTTTAAGATCCATAAAATACACTTTATAACGCCGAGAAAAAAGGGAATTGACAATTATAGCTGTAAAAAAAATCTGACTGATATAAAAAAAATTTAATTTCGATTTTCTTAAAAATAAGATCAACACCTACTTTTCGAACCAATTTTGTTTTGGCCTTAAATTTACTTGAGGAATTATTGATGTTTGATATAGACACAAAAATTTTTAATATTTTTTAAATTAGACACTTAATATAACCCCACCTTTTACCAATCAATCAAATTAGAAACTAAATATTTAGTGACTTTATTATCTTTTTCATTTTCATATGATACTTACAACAAAATTTAAACGTATATAAATTTTTTTTTTAAAATACTAAACTTTAGTGATTTTAAATATGCTTTACATTCACATTATTTACTAGTTGGTTCACAAAACATAATATTTAAAAAAAGAATGGATAAGACATAGTAGACTCATAAATATGAAAATATCTACTTCCTAGGAAAATAATTTTTTTCAAGTCCTCTTTGGCTAAATAGTAGCAAAGTCCTGTTTTTGTTATCGGTACCTCAACTTTGCAAATAATGTGGACATCAGGAATCCGGCATTGGCTGTCCTTTGGTGGCCATTTAAACGACTGTGCAGGACCATTAGGACACATAAATTTAACAAGCACATCTTTTTCTTCTAAATTAATATCTTCAATGACTCCTATCCGCCACTTTTGCTCATAGGAAACACAGGCATAATCACCTGGTACTAGGTTTACAGTTGTTATTTGGATATTTCTAAAGTCATGAATTAAAGCAAATTCTTCATCAACACTGCATAGCTTAGTGCCTACCTAAACAAAATAATAACATATGAAATTATTCTGTTTTACTTATCAAACATGTTTTATTAAATGCATAGATAGCAAATGCAGAGGAAATAAAAAATAAAATACAAATATTTTTGATAATGATTCTGCAAAAATCTAATATCTATTTGAGTTTATCAATAAAAGTTGTGCGTGTATTTTAAAATATGGTAAAAGGTATAATTAAAAAATAATAATTTACCTTTTGATGGTACAAACTGATGGTCACTACGTGTTCCAGGTATTGTATTAGCAGTATCCAATCATTCTTTAAGAGCCGTTCTCACAAAAGTTAAATCTTCTGATGAAATATATATGAAATTTATGCCTCCAATGTTTTCATTGCAATATTTATACATTGTTTGTGGAGATAAAATATGATTATCCATATCTCTTTGTAAACTTGCTTGTTTTGCCAGACGTTTGACTGTACCACCTATCCCATCATCATGCTTACCGTTACTAGTTGCAAAAAAGTACCATTTAGCAGCAAAACCAAAATCTTTACAATGGAAACAAAGATTTAACATATTTTTGCAATTCTTATATTGACCTGCACACCCATCTGAAAAGTAATCAATATTTTTTATTTGAGGCAAATTTGTTTTTATATCATTGCAAACAACCTCAATAATTTTATAAACCATGTTCACATGATGGATCATATCATCCGAAATAATACAATAGGATTTGTGCTTGAGAATGCTTTCTTTTTTGAAATAATCACTGGATGAAGTGTACATTGTAAATTTGACCAATGAAAGCTTTGCGCTTCATCCTGAACTACAAATTTATAGTTTTCTGAAAAACCAGAAATATTGCTGTTACCTCATTTATATCTTCCTTTTTTGATCTTAGGTATAATGCTTGATTCTTTGCTAAATACGAATGTGGAGCAAGTTTTTCTAGTTTTCTACATACTAGTTCAATGTATTCAAACACTGGCTCTTTATTATGTGTCAAGTTTGACCTATCTGTTGTTGTCCATTGATCAAATTCAATCTCATCATCATCTTCAAATTCTCCAAGTATATCATAAAGTTTTTCAAGCAGTGCATTCATAGTTGCTGGGCATTTTTCACATTTCCTCATTATACAGTTTTTATTAGTTATATCACAGACAATATAAGGCAACAATTCTTTGTATGTCACACCAAGAGGATGTAAAAGCAGTTTCAAATTCTGATGCATACAAAATGTGTTCCTGAGGCACCAACAGTAATACACCATTTAGGTTGCAAGGTGCAAAACCTTGAAAATCCTACTTTTATTTCTGGGTTCTTGGTTTTAAAGGCGACAAACAATTTCTTAAAATTACATAAGAGCAAACATTGTTGCATGTGGAAAATTTTCTTTATACTTACATAGATTTTTTTACCAGGCATTATACGGCTATGTTCATCGTCTTTGTAAAATGTCTTGACCAGTTTAACTGTTTCATCAGGAAGAGCTTTTCCTAATTTAGAATTAGGCATGGTTAAATACCTTTTTCTAATGTTAACTTACGTGTAGTTCGAGCTGCATAATTTGTTACATGCAATGTTTCGGATACCTTTTTTATTGACTAGTCTGTTGAAGCAAGTGTTGCAAATTGTACTTTTTTTGATGTTGATGTAGACTCGGCAATTTTGTTAGTTAACAATACCATCATGTTATCAAACAAGTTTGCTTTTTCCATATACTCATTATTAAAACTTGACTATTCTTAAAAACTTTCTTCTGATATATTAAGGGAAATGGCTACCTTTCTTTTAAAGGAGGTTGTTAATGCTGTCAATTTTCGTTTACCTTCTCTGATTTTATCTTATTTGTGCAATCCTTTGACTTTAATTGGAGATACTCCATCAGATGCAAAGTGTGTATTTACACTTTCTTTTTTATTTTAAATGGATCTTTCATTAACAATATCAAAATCTTCATCATTTTTTATTTTCACTTATACTTTTTGATAAACATGCCATAACTTTACTTCGACAGGTTGGACACAGTTTTTTTCCAGGAATAAGATTTAAACCTATGGTTTCTGCTTCTAACACAGAATGCATTGTAATCACACGTAGAGATGCTTAAAAAGAAAGTAATTACATTACTTAAATAACATTAATTATATATATTATGTAATTGTATTACTATAAAATTTGTTATATTAATAACTATGAAACATTGAACAAATCTTATTACCAAAAAAACTTATATGACTTATTAATAATGATATTACCTAATGAAATATAAGTATATAAAATTTTACCTCTACACATCTTTTGGTGACTCAGAAATGGATTACAGCAACTTTTCTGATTACCCTCATATCTTACAACTA